ACTACAGGAAGCCCGAGGCAGAGTTGCTCTGCCCCGGGCTTCCTGGAATCAGCTGCTGATCAGTTTCAGCAGCAGCTGACTTGGGGACATCTGGGGTTCTTAAGTTGATTCTGTATGTAAGTCAGAACTGGTGGTCAGTTTCAGCAGCGGCTGAATCTGGAGGCCAGTTCCGACTTACATACAGATTCAACTTAAGAACAAACCTACAGTCCCTATCTTGTACGTAACCCGGGGACTGCCTGTACTTACCTGAATATAAGTGTTTACATGAATCAAGCAGCACACACCAGTAGTGATGGGGTTACTGGGGGAAAAATAGAATTCTGATTCTGTATGGGACTGGCAGAGAATGACACTTCCTAACATAGGGCCTGAATGACCACAACCTTACTCCAGATCATGCCAGTAAAACCCCCACTGAAATCAATGCAGTTATTCCACCATAAAACTGGAGTGACGAATCATGCTTCCACTGCAACATAACAAAACAGTCTCCATTTTACTCCACCTTGTGTTTTCCCCTTTCCTTTTTAACGTTTAAATCACTACGTTTAACATTAGGATAATCTCTTGACTCCTCTGCCCACTCTCCCCTTTTAAAGAAGAGTTTAATATTAATGTACTCCTTCTGATGCTTTCCTTTCCACTACCCATCAGACAGTTATTTGAAAAAAATCAGCCCCTGACCAAGTACATTTGGAAAGAGCACATCTCGGCGGGCTAGATGTTTTCATTCTCTCTGTGAAGTGCAAGAGGAGGCCTAACAAAGCTGCAATGTGCTCAATTGTGTTATCAAGGCACTTGGCACTACCAGCTGATTCTTGATTACCATTCATCCCCAAAGGAAAATAAACAGCCTTTTGTAATGAAAATGTAACCGGTTACTGCCATGTATTACATGTTCACAAAGTAGCTTTTTTACAGACTTACATATGCTAAAAGCATGGAAGTGGAATCAGATTGAGGCTACCAGTTGTTTCCATACTTTTCAGATGAAAAGCAGACAATTTAAGAAGGATTGCACCAATGTGAAGAAAATGCTAGGGTTGTTATGTATTTGTGGATTAAGTGTCAGTGAGCTTCTTAAATTAAAAATTAGTGGCAACAGAGTTTGCTTAGATTGTATGGGTGAAGAAGCTAGGACCATAGTAACTACCTTACAGCACACAATATTAACAGGTTCAGATTATCAAAAACAAAAATAATAAAAACCACCAAAATGCTTTTGCAACATTATTTTTTTATTGAAGCTGCTTATTATCTCTGCTGTACAAATGCTGAATTTGCTGGTTCGGCAGATTAATCCCCATTCATGCTGGGGAAAGCATTCCATGACATTAAAGGATTTGTTTGTTTGCTAATCTACTTCAGAATCCATAGGCCTCGACACATTCTCTTTCTCCCTCTCTCTCTAAGGAATCTTTTTTTGCTTTTGTGACTGCTACAATTCAATATCTTTCCATTTAAAGGCACAGTGTACACATGAAAAAAAAATAGTATTCTACCAACGAATGTTTTAACAATGTATTGCATTCACCTGCAAAGCCCCGTTTTAGAATTCCTTACAACCAAGCATAGGAAAGCCTCAAAGTACCTACCACAAAATCTCCTACGTTAGCATTGGGATGTCCTAGTGCTGCAGATACCAGCTCTGTCAGTACATCTTGAACTCACAGTCAGCATCTTTAATCTTGGAGAGTACCAGAGCTCTTTCACACACACAGCTATGGTTTCATCCAGTAGTGAAATGAAAATGGTGATGAAGTGAGAGGCTGAAACTGCTAAACACAGTTTCTGATGCGAAGAGAAGAATACAGTAGCTTTCCAAAAAATGCTTAGATAGGCAGCATATAATTACACAAATTGGGGAAAACACTGCGGTTAACACCCGTTTTCTTAGTGCCAGTTTTTAAATGAGTGCGAAAGGTCAGTCCTTTGGTTTTTCATAGTTCATTTGAAGGGCTCCCAACAGCATAGTATACCTTAACATCATGTGGGAGACTGACTCAATACTAGTCCAAAGGGAAGAGCGCTATTCAATCACCAGTAGCACCTCCTATAACACTAATTTTCATGGGTGACCTGTCATGCAAATGCTGACCAGGAGTGCCCCTACTTCAACTATAAAAAACACTGAAATCAACACTGAGTCTGCAATGGTACAGTGGAAGGGTTTATTTGAAAAACACACATCTCCTTCAGCTTTTTGTAGAACTTTGTAGTCAATATATTAAAACCTGTATAGAAAAAAATGCCCTAGTTAAACTATTGTGCATAAAATCCCTGCAGAAAATGCATGATTTGGCTTCCTAAAGTGAAGATTAATAAATGAATAAATGGAAGTTGCAGAGACAGCAAACACAAATCCAAGATTAAAACTTGGTTTCAGTTGTAACACTAACAATCATTATTTGTCTTCCCGATATTAACACTACCAATCAAAACTGAACCTACTTAAAAGAATTGCAACTCTGCATTTCTCTGCCACCTCACAAAGGTTCTTTATCTGAATTTATACATCAGATAGAGGACTTTAAGAAACAGTCTGTACTTTACATTAACATTTAAAATGTTTTGCTATTTTTTATTTACAATAGTTTCTTCTATATCAACGGTAGAAAGAAGAGGTAGGCATGAGCAGGTTTTGAAGTACATGATATAAAAATGGCTGGTGACAACATAAATTTCATATTCTAAAATGGAGGCCCATTGCCCACAATATCTGCTGTGCACAGGCAGGAACGCAAGGGGACAATAAAAAGATCAGTTGCATTTCCCCATGGGCAGGTTCCTTGCTCAACCTGATCTCAGTGCAGTGTAGAGCAATTTTGGGGTGCTTTAGTGTATGTCAGTTGGGTATGCTGCCAAGGGCCCAGTATGCCAGCTCAGAGTAGTACTCAGACCACATTCTCTTCTCACCCTCCACATGTCACCAATTCTGAGATTGTACGGAATGATGGTACAGGAAAGGACTGTGTCTACTAAAGGCATGAGCTGATGTTCTGGTTATTTGAAAAGAAGAAAACATAGTTTAGGATTATGCACTCAAGCTAGGGTTTTAAAATGCAAGAAAGAAAGGCACAATATATTTGAGACAGATTTTCAAAACGTGTGCATGATAATAAAACTTTGCAATTATGTACACTTTTCATCTGAGGAACTCAATATACTGGCCAAATTCATCTGTGGTATAGTCCCATTGACTATAGCATTGTGAATGAAGTATAATGGTCATGTGAAGATATGAAATGATCTGAAAGAGAGTTGAATAAGAAAGGAGACTATTTTAGACCATGACTCTATGTGAGGGAGATAATAATAGTAGGAAATAATTTTAGAAATTTGCCGCATTTACATAAAATGTATTTTTAGATTAATCAGAATTCAGTTATTTAGTCATGACATAGCAAAAATAGTATTTAATAAAAGTTTGTGTGTAATCGCAAAGATTATATAGAAGGCTGGATTAAATGGTTCCCTTAAAAGCTGTGGGAAATTCAGTTGTGTGTCAAAATTTGCTGTGTTTGTATAAAATTAGCCAAATCTTTTAAATTTGTCCCTCATTAGCTTGGCCAATTTGTTTGGGAAACTTTGATAAGATTTTCAAAAATGCAACTTCACTACATTCTTTTTTTCACAGTTTAAAAGAAACAGTAGATTGTAGCTGCAGTGAAAATCTGTTCTATGCATTAGGGAAAAATGCAAGATTGGACTCCTTTTCAAATTAAGTTAAAGACATTTTAGCATTTTGTTCATTTTTGGCAAACCAGCTGGAAGACATTCTATGCTATTTGCAAGATGTTGTTATTGGAAGTAAAAGTTAAATTTTATATTTAAACAAAGTTTGCCTGAAACACTGAAAAGTCAATTTAATGTTAACAGTGCCACAACTCAAACAGTATCTGAGCCAAAGATAAGCTCCAAAAGATAATTAGAGCAGGGTAAAAGGACAGAAAAGCCTTAGCCCTAAAGAATGTCAGGATATAAGTACTGAAACTACTTTTCTAGAAGGGGATATGACTTTTTACATGGTGTGTTTTTCTTGTTCACCAAACCTATATTTATGAAAATTAAATTATACAAACTATCCAAACAATATGAAAAGGAGTAACCCACTAGAAGCAAGAATATTCGGATTTGAAGGTAAAATTCATCTTTATCTTACTGTTTGGTATGGGGATATTGAGATGTGTATGGTCTCCTACCATTTAGAGATTACTGCAATGCCAAGAAATGACATGTTGAGTTAAGTATGACGTGAAAAGTTTATTTCTCAATTTCTTGTGTTAAAAATGATAATCTAAAAACAAATCATTAATAGAGAATCTCTTTGGAATGCTCTATCCTACATCATCCTCATCTATTAACTCCAACAAGAGTTGGGGCACTGCGCATGCTACAGGATCATGTACTCTGGCATGTAAATTCAAGCCATGCCTGTAGCTGTTTTGGCAAAGTATTTTCCAAATCGCTTTCAAAATGGCTATGAAGGTTTTTTGTTACTGATGATCTTTCTTCCAAATTACTTTCCAACACAAAGTGCCTGTTATTTTTCCAGCATTCTCATTAGATGGTACAATGCTGATGTTCAGCTATAACATTAGATTACTGTATCTTTCATAAGGAACTGGGTATGCATGATCATACATTTCTTTATAGCTCAGACAATCTTTTCTCAGGATAAAGCAAGTCTTCAAGTGGCATAAATTTACCTACATTTTCCACAAGATATTTAGTTGCAAAACAGATAATTTGCCATATTTTAAAAAAGCAAGTTACAAAAAGCTTAAATTGCTTTTTCTATTCCACAAATCCAGAAAAAAAAAGAGAGAAATATTTCCAGTTTAACATTTATTAATTCTTATAGCTGTATATCAAGATATGTGGTACAATGAGGGAAGTGAAAGATGGTGCATTTAATAAAGAATAAGGGACATTTTTCACAGGCACAGTGGGTGGCTGGGTGCCAGATCCTATGCTTTCCCCAATGCCTGATATTCCAATTCTGCAGCCTTTGCAAGAAGTGGGAATCACGCTGTTATCAACGGGAATCTCAATTATGGAATGGGCTGCAAACTCTTGTCATCATGTTTCTTCCCCCAGTCTATTTTGGTCCATATTCCCATGATATCTGAGCACATCCCAAGAAATGAAGTCCACATCAACAGAGTAATATTTAGGGGTCAGATTTGTGAACTGTGTTAGATTAGGAGTAAGTTAACTGGCTCCTTTCTGTAAAACATACACAAAGTTCAGAAGGATAACGGTATGACTGCTGAATGTTTGACAATGTCTAGGATTTAAATTGCTCTGATAAATGTTTTGGATATCCTCAGCCTGAATTATAGTCACTTTAGAAAAAGTGAGTTAAAACTAATTTCATTTTCTGTATCTGCCCCTGCATCCTTCTGCCAATTTTTCCATTTTCCTATTTAATTATTTTTCTCTCTCTTCTGGTCTGGTGCAGAAGACACACACAAACACCACAGGAGAAACTCTGAAACGATCAATACAGCAAATACCATTAAATAGAAAAAGGACGTAATTTTTTCCTCCTCTAATCTCTCTCAGTTGTAGAAATCTGAAACTTGCAGGAAGAGTAAGTTAATAAGCAGGCAGATGTTTGATTTTCAAAGATGAGAGTATCCCTTTAAAGGGCTATACTGAATGAGAGGAACTGAACAAAACAAAGAAATAGTCTAAACAGAGTCAAAAGCCTATTCCTTTAAAGGTACAGAAGGGGTGGGCACAAACAGTTACAGAACTACCATAGAAAGCCAAATTCTTCAAAACTAACAATAAATACAAAAAATAAGCCAAAAGGAGATAAAACCTGAAACTATTTTACTTGACATCAACAGGTAACGGCATGATTGGGATATCTTCGACTCTGAAAAATATTAGCCAAATCATGCAATTACCTGTTGAAAAAGTCAGATCCTTTCAGTTTTTATTACCATTTGGCTTTTCCCCCTTCTAATTATTGCTTTTGATCAATCTGCCTTTCAAATCATATCTGGGGTATAATAGCTCATTTTTTATTATTGTCAAAAAATAACTCTTCATGTAATTTTACCTGATCAGTCTGTTTACAAGAATACATGTCCAAGAAACAACCTGCCATGGTTTGTGTAAACAAACCAGTGATGAAATAAGTTTAAAAATCTGTATCTGTACCCCCACATGTTTGTGGCCACTTGCACCAGTTCCTTCAACTAGATATTTTTATTCATTGAATTTTCTAGGAAATATCAAAGATTTTTAGTGGTCTAGTTTAAATGTAAATTTTTTCAAGTCTTGCATGCCCTGTATCATGAAACAATTAACATCTCTCAACTTTTTCCCATTTTACAATATGTCCTTTATCAGTCAAGGTACAGTGCTTGGTAGACTAAATAATTACATATAAAAATATTGTATTATAAAGAGAAAAATTTACATATATGTGTAAGAAATACACATTTTATCCAATCAAAAAGACACTCATAATATTTATGGTTTAAATTTAAAACATTTTTTCCTTGACATCTGGAAATAGTTATAAATGACCAAGAATTAGAAACAGTCCATTTTCACAATCTTTATAATAAGCCTAATGTTGTATTTTAAAAATGTAATTTATATTCCTACCTTATAATATAAGGAAAAGGAAGATGTCCAAGACTGAAGTTAAACATTGTGCTGTGATCAATTAGGAGCACCTTAACTTTTTTTTTTTTTTTTTTTCCAGGGGAGGGGGAGGAGGAGAAGAAATCTGAATGTTTGGCAGGCCTGTTTGGCAACTTTTTGGGATGTCATAAATCAAAGATTTCAGAATATTTTTCAGCATGTATTCATGCCACTCCCAGTCTTTATGAGGCTCCTTGGTGCGGAACTGACAACCAGACACACAAAGATTAAGACTGTAGGGGCACTTGTTGCAAATATTTTCAAGGAAATGATCTAAGGATCAGTCTAAAAATTACTCATTTAAGAGTCCTTCCCCCCTCTCTGACTGATATGTATGTGCAGATTTAAACCAGAAATCTGAATTATAATAATGCAGATAATATATTTTTATTATAAACTACATTTCCAACAACTTCCACTGTATTCACATAGTTCCCAATTGATGTCTATTATGAAATTTGTGCAGTGGAGTTCATTTCAGATATGCCATTTACAATACAAAATTCCTAAGCTCTCAAGAACTTTACAAAAGAAAATTTACTGTATACAATTGAAATCAGCCTCCCACTCTCTCTCTCTCTCTATACACACACACACACACGCGCGCGCGCGCCTATATATTCATTTCTCAAAGTGCATGAAGTCCACTCTGCCCCTGATAATCTTCATAAAACTTCCTTAGTGACTCAGGAATTCTAGGGGTCACAATACTTAATGCATGTTGAAAATGTTGTCCCATAATACATTTGGCTTGTATATCTTCTTGCAGGGCTAAAAGGGCTGCTTCTCTACAGACTGCTGTTATCTGTAAATGAAAAACAAAAATAATTTACATGTATTTTTTTAATCCAAAAATTCATCTTTGTTTCCAGACCAAACATGATCTGAAATAGAATATGGCAAATATCACGGAAGACCATTACTATATGCTGATAGCCTGTCCCCTTCCCTCCGTCTCCCCCAGTAGTTCAGCTTCTAGTGCTTGATTTCCACTGAATGGGATTTGTGGGTCCTGAGCATCTGTGAAAATCCAACTATAATAGATGCAACTTAAAACCTCACTCCATTACACTTCAAATTATATTACTATTATTTCTAATTTAATTACCATATGCTGCCCTAGTGTTTTTAAACTCTCTGCAATGCTTATTAAAAAAATAATAATCCAATGATCAGGGGCAAACAAACAATCTGATATATGTCTCTGTTGATAACCCAGAAGAACAGATATTCCAAATCCCTGTGACTGCTTTCCTCCTTAAAGCCTATATGGGAAAGAAGTAAATACAATTAATTTAGAGCGGAAAGCTGGGAAGAGGAAGGAAGAAAGGGAGAGCGAGAGAGAGGGGTGTGTTAAAGGGAAAGTGGGCTATGGTCTCATACTCTGAAATGTATTTTTAAGCCCTCTGGACTTCAGACAGCGGAAACAGACTGATGCCAGTGTCACTCTAAAGACACATTACTGTGGTGAAAAGAGCTTGTGGAATGAAAAGAGATATTGTGATTTCCAGTGCAACAGGGAAAACAGTGATTGATATTGACTGCACCCTTATATCTGTAAATGAAAGAGCCAGCTGAAACACATTTGTCCAGCCATTCAGCATATTTTCTCTGTTTGTTCACTTACTGAAAAGAGTTCCACTGCTTATGCTGTACTAATGGCTGCCAAAGCCGTTAGTAACGTTTTAGAGGATTTGTTTAGGAGGCTTTCACAAAAAACACGCACGGATTTAGATGGCTTTGTCAAGTTACAACAATCTTACTATTAGTTCTGTGCTGCTTTAATGAGCAGTGAAGCTAAAACACTGCTGTTATGTATTTTAATGCTTTTAAAAATGCACAGCCACTAAATTGTTGAAAGAGATTTAGAGCATCAACTTCTCACAGAGACCTAGTAAAGTTCTAGAAACAAATGTAAATATCCTGACCATTACATTCCTCTTTTCTAGGAGAAGAATATTTTCAAATTCCTATCTATCACAGATATAAAGCTAGTTCAAATTAAATTAAACCTTTAAAGGGGAGCAAACTATTGTGCAACTATACGCTAAAATCGGCCTGAACCAAAAACACGTGCCAAACCTACCCTGTACGTTGAAATGACAGGGATTTTTGAAGTTCAGACTCTTTTCTCTTTAGTACATAGAGTGCCACTGCATTAGTTTTTCATGATACCAAATAGAATAACTCTTTTTTACACGTTTATCACTTGTTTTCTGAAGTCTTTTCAGATCCATCAATGGAGGAACAACAGATTTTGCTTGGACAAATCTGCCTACAACGACCATTAATCATCTAGAACACTAGAACTACTGAAGCAAAATATCACTCAACCAGAAATCCAATGGTGAGTGACTTGTGTATTTTTATTCCTTCAAGCTCCAGTACAGTGCAGAGTTAGGAACAGTATATGTTTGGCAGATATAATAAGAATTCAGAAAAAGAGGAAGCAAACACTACTACTTTATCTTCCTCTATTTCACTCACATACTGATACACAGAGGAGGAATTTGCCTACCAGCCAATACTTCTAGTGGTTTTATGTTGTCTCTACGTTCCTGCCAAAAATATCAGCAACAGTGACCATACTTAACTTCCAAAGGCTGCTGAGTTCTTTTGTTTCTAGTTTTACTCTTAAGAATATTCAGGAAGGCTCCACAGTATTTGAAAATTACAGGGTACACACGGATTCCACTACATTGATACATTTGGTTTGTTATTCAGGACTATGTGAATTGCTCAGATGAGAAAAGCAGTTAATGTACAAAAATAATTTGTTTTATTAATTCTGTCTCTTATTCTAGTTACATTCAAAATTCAAATTTTTATTATTAAAATTATTTGACTAATCCTGTCATACATTAATGTACTCCAAGGCTTTCTATTACTCAATATTCAAAATTTGGGCCATTTAGATTGGTCATGTATGATTATGTGGTATAATTTATAGACCACTGCTGACTGAGAATATCAAGTGGCTGAAGTGGAGGATTAAGGAAAGCAAATATTGAATAATTTTTTGCAAGTATGTTAATGTGCAAATTTAAAATATTTTTTCCACAAGCATTCTCACTAGTAAAATTCACACCTATGTATATTTGTGGAAAGAGAAAACAAAAGTGATCTGAAATTGAATTTAGTTTGGTAAAATTGCTTGCATTATTTCCCAGCTCGACTGTTCAGATACATGTTATTACAGTTTGTTTGGGCAGATAAGTTTAGCTTATCTCACAGTATGCAGAAACTGGAGAATCAGTATTGGATTGTAAGATGCAGAATGGAGTGAGACTAAAAGAAAGTGGGAAAGAAAGGGTGAGAGAAAGACTCTAAAACTAACAGAAAGAAAGAGGGGGTTGAACAGCATACACACTCCCCATACCAGGAAGCAACATAAACCCTACAGTTGCAGGCCTAGTGGATGGGAGGATTTCTGAAAGAAAGCGGAGACGTCAAGAAACAGGCTTCTCTCCACACTTAATAGAAACGCACCAAGAAATTTGGTGGAAATCAATGCTGCAGACAGACTATTATTTTTCCCTCCATGCCTTCTATATACATGTATGCAGGATCTGACCCATAAAGGCATTAATTGTTTCACTACGTTTCTTCCCTAGCACACATCTCAGGTGTCTGGTATTCTCTGAATTTTTTTTACCAGACAGGAGGTTAAAATACCCAACTGTATGGGTGAATACTGGACACCTGGCAACCCTAGTGAGTGAGGGTGGGGAAAGTGAGCGATGAGGGGTGGGGAGGAGGAGAAGAGGGGCCCTGAAGTGAGTTGGGGTGAAGCTTTGGAGGATGGGTTGGGCAGGTCAATGGTATTTGGATTTGTGCAAGTAGAAAGTTGTACAACTTATGTGAAGAATTAGAAAAACTTCCTAAGAGATGGAGGCAAATGAATATAAGTGGTTTTCATCAGAACCTACCAATTGCTTGCACAATAGCGGGGCTCTGGTCATGGTTTCTATGGAAAATAGAAACTTGGACTTGAGTTTAGAAAAGGCAGCATTTTCTGTGTGTCTATATTAATGGCAAAGCCTGGAACTGTTAAACAACTTGAGCTACCATGGGTTCCCAAACTGGGGTTGGGGGAATTCCAGGGGGGGGCGCGAGGCTACCCAGCCCCACACACCCTTGTCAATCCCACCCCAAGTTTTGCTGCTATTTTTGGGGGGAATGCGGGGCGTGAGGGTTTCTCAAAAATAAAAAAAAAGTTTGGGAACCATTGTAGGCTCTCATTCCTAAAAGTGACAGAAAGAACCTTAATAAGGAACATTAATCTATCCCAGAAAGGAAAAAGATGTTGGTATCTTTCTCCCTCAGTCTTTCAATGACCATCACAAGAAGGCAATAGAAGAGCAATGTGAAATAGAACAGAGCCTTCTTTCTTTAGTGACAGCATGAACAGACTGTAAGCAGGGCTTATGGGAAACGCAGACAAACTTCCAGGAGATCATAAAGGATCAGAAAATCCACTCCCATCGTATTTGAAACTATGAGGTCCCACCTGGAACTTTGTCTATTCAAATACTTTTGATTTACTGGGGTCAGTGGATCTTCCCCATAGGCTGGAAGGGGTCCTTTAGCCATGGGTGAGCTTACGCCTGTCCACTTTCTGGAGCAAAATAGGATCTCAGGTATGCAGAGGGCACTTCCTAACTTTGTGAGGAAAAAGGATTTTATAGATTTCTGCCAAACTCTATTCACCTAACTCTGAGTCTAACCAAATGTGTATGGAAACTAGATAATGTTTCCTAATGAGACAGCAGATGAACACAAATACAGCTACACGTTTCTTCAGCATCTTATGGATAATCAACATTGTATTTTCCCCCATTTTTGCAACAGAAGTCATGTAACGGTTCTTGTGTAGTTATGTAATATTCTTTTGTTCACAAAGGCCTAACATTTAGGGAGGCAGACAGCAAAGAAAGCAAATCACAAAAACAAAATAGTACGGGAAAATAATCTGAACAATGAATGACTTCATGCCATCACCATCCCAGTAAAAAAGAGCAAATGTAATACAAGTACAAGGATATATCCTTGTCAGAGAAGGTCAGAGAAAAGCAATAAATAGATTATCAAAGACAATTGCAGCCTTGGTGGGAGAAAGCAATTTCCCATGATATGAAATGTCTTGAGCACTAAACCTTAGGAAATCCAATTATCTTATCTTCAAGTGCAAAAGGGCAAAAGCACCAAGTGTGCTGGACTCTGCATGCTATGAAGAATAAGAATCATATTATGACCCTTTCAGAAAAGTGAAGTTATGGTAAAGCTACTGATAAACATATACTATTCTTAATCACAGCATAAAATTAAGTAATTTTGTTTGTCTGACAGCACTGATTGGTAAAATAATGATGACATTAATGAAAGTCAGGAACAATAAAATGATTAATCAGCTAGCAACAGATCAGGCAACATGTAATTAAGAAATTACTGTAGAGGTGCAGGACATTTCCTGGGGATTAATAACCAGCTAGTAGGAGTTGAAGGCTTGAGGTGCAGCTGAAGGTTGTTAATCCCATATGGAACACAGAAAAGTACTTACATTATTAGTGCTATTATAAGCTAAAACTAAAACAAATATTTAAACATTTTTTTCCTAAAGGGGATGATAGAGAACTACATAACATATTAGTCTGACTGCGTGGATCACCTCTCAACATATTCTCCACTTTCTCATCACATTAATAAAACAGATTAACAAAAAAGACGAGGTGCTAACAAAGGAGCTGAACCATCCACAGGGAAATGTTGGTTTTAAGAACTCTAAATTCAGGAAGAAAAATCATT